CTGTTGACATGACACCTTGATTTCTATAATTGGAGATTAAGTCATATTGGTAGTGTTTTATTCCTCTTACAACCATTCACTATATTTTAGGTGTACATCTTTAATGTAATAATAGGCCATATTTTTAGGTGTATTTTGCTTGGAATTTTATAATTTGGAAATGCTTTAATTAATTTTAGGAGAATCTTGTAGTGGATTTTATAGCTTAGAGAAGCACTATATTTTCTGGTATAGATTTATAATTGATGATTGACCTAAAATTTATATTGGAAGGACATTACATTTCTTTAGTTGAATTTTTATTGCAGAAATTATTATTGGAGAAATGACTTAATATCTGATGTCTCATTCATTTTATTTAATGGAAACGAGCGAAGAGAGGCCAAATTCTTGAATGACCATAATTTTTAATGATAAGATCTCATCTAATTTTACTTGACAAGTTATCCAATTAATATTTAGTTGTAAGTTATCACATGTTGGTAGTTCATATGTTTAATGGTAATCTTCTTGTAATTCTATAGCACTGCGCAGATCGAAAATACAAACAAGCAACGGACATAGTTGAGGGCTTTTCCAAGACGCACTATGGTGGCAACCCGAGAATCGAGAATCCCTACAGGATATTACGTACAAGTGTCGCGAAGAGGCGCATGTAAGAGCTAGGGCCAATCAAGAAATGACACGGAGGTTGTGACTCGGCTTGCAGGTGCACAGAAGCGATCCTGTTTTTCCCACTTGCGACTTCCGTGAGTGAAGTGCACCCTGTATTTCAATACACGATTGCCTACATGATTGACACTGTTGTAAGAAGGACCGCTGCTATGAGTGCGCATTCTCTTCCACTTCGAACAACGGTCAAGGCTCCGGAAGCACGATTTGCTACAAGGCAGGACACCTTTACCTCCTTTGCCGTGACCACCCATGACGTTGGAAGTCACAAAGCGCGTGTTACCATGACGGCTGGCTACTCTACTCACTATGTTGCTTACACTTCGCTTGCACACGACTGCTGCCTTCTTGAGCCGGACTAAGCACATGCAGATTCTGCCGAGAGCTCAGTGCAGTGGACGTATCTTGCCTCAAGCAAGTCAAAGGCTAGGTCTTCGGCCCTTGGGCCTAGACAAGTGCTGTGATGGAGACGCGGGGCACTTTAGAGTTACGGGGCGGGGAGAGGGTTCACAGTTGACAACACTTCCTGCGCAGGCGCGTCACAACCTAACTGCCTCAGAGCTCCAACCGCCTACAACCTGAAGAACTCTCAAGCCTTTTGGCGTGTGTACTGTCAGCTTCCCAACAGTCAAGATGGTCAGAAACAGCTTCTCGTTGTGGTAACCCTGACACAACCGGGACTACCTTTTCTCAATCAGTCATCGAGACGAGAGGCGGTCTATTGGTCTGGCGACCAGTGAAACTGGCAGTGACAGCATGTCGAACTCTTACTGGCCCGACGACGCCCTCAAACGCTTCAGCTCCTCTCTCTCCATCAGCAATTCTTGCTCCCTCTCCGCCAACATGTGTTGCCCGAGCCTGTCAGGATACGTCAATGTAGCATGCTGTGCAAAGTAAATCACCAACTTCGTTTTGTCTTCGCTTCTGCGCCAATCCGTTCAAGGTGCGCAACTTGGCTGACTTGTCCACAGCCACATCCGAACCGTTTGCCAGTGTGGACTCCACCAGAGTGTCGTGGGTGAAGAGCCGACGAAAGTCACGGCCGCACAGATACGTGCTGGCAGCTCCAGGCCGGTGAAGCAAGAATGGGGTGGGAAAGTTTGCAATCAATTCACACTCCAGTGGCAGGTGGCTTGATAACCAAGTCAATCTCAGTGACGAACCTTAGGTCCCACCATGCCGCCTCCCACATCATCTCGACGACCCACACAGATGTAACGTTGGGCGCATACTTCTGTCGCCACGCAAACCATGCCCTGTTTGCGCGGCTGACGTGCCCAGTCTGGCATGCATTGAAATACTTCCAGGCATCAACCTGCTTGCGCCAACACGACTGGGTATGCGGGTCTGCTTCCTGTCCGTTGTCTTTTCGGAGTATAAGGTTCCTTTCAATGTCAAAACCCAACGCTTGTAGTGCTCTGCACAGGATTTCCTCATCACCCACTCCGGTCACGCTACTATCTGGCGATGGTGCCGACATTTCTTTCACGATAATGCAGGTCAATCATGCAAATGAGCGTGTCTCAATGGACATGCTGAAACAGCTGAGAAGAAGCACACATGTTTCTATCAACAACTACCTAGCACATATTCGGAATCTCTGCAATAGTTTGAGCACAAAAACAGCATCATGCACAAGTTGTCTGGCACAGACGAGTCTAACTGCCTGCTGCAACTTTGACACTGCACAACAGTCAATCACATTTGGAAAGCAACAACATGTGCTCAGCCGTCAATCATTTTCTCCAGAACAGGTTTCGAAACGGCAAATGGACTTCCATCGCCATTCTTTGCAATCCAAAGGTGGGTCTTCGCAGAGACCTGCTTAATATGAAAGAACAGCCTAACCAAGCCGTCACTTTGGGTTCATTCACCGGCGGTCGCGTGTGGGTCGAGGATGAAAATGGACACTTTCCGGCCGAAGTCAAAATGAGAACCAAAGTTCGTCCACTGATGGGAACATGGCATGACATCCACGACAAACCCATCACCTTCGAGGCAAGAAGGTTTCATCAGATCGAGCCTCATGAAGGTCACATGTGGGCCTTAGCCGCTTACACGCCTCAAGCTTTCAAGCGCGTCTCGGGTGAACTTGCCTCGCGACTGGAGCGTCTTGGTTTTCCATTGCCTTCCGTTCGTCGAACACCCTGATCTCAGCTGCAAATCGGAACACTGACGTTCGTTTGCTTGGATCTCGTTGGGGCAAAATTGGCTAGGATTTTTTGGAGTCGCTGCTGCTCGAGCTGGCCGGAGCCGGGAGCCACTCGACCTACTTCGGACATGCAAGATTAATTGGCCCTAACGTACCCCCAATCCATATATATTTTGCATGCCTGCAGGAATAGCAGGAGCATGTGCACTTCCACAGCAAATGGGGCCTTGAGCTGCATGAAGACTCTCGACGTATTGTCCGTGGGCAGTCCCAAGGACAAGGGAACTCGATGTTCAGGCAGCTCCAGGACGCGTCGGAAGAGGTCGAGGCCACCGCCCGCCTTCAGGCACTCGATTTTGTGATATGGGAGTGTCACCGATGTTTGCCCTGGACGCGGCACCGGTCCGAGAAGCTCGGACCAATGCTGTATGAGCAGCTCGACATAGGCCGGGTTCAGCCTTTTTGGTGCCTGTCAAAGGGCCTTTCTCCTCTTCTGGTGTTGATGCGCAACTCCGTGAAAACGCCAATAAGGCGTTGCACCGGCTGGCCCACGTCAAAAGCAACCACCGAACCTTCAAGCGGAGATTGTTTCTCCGTGTGGGAGAACCAAAGCGGGGCGCTGTCTCCGTTCGAGTTTGCCAAAGCTGGTACAGGTGTCAGCAGTCACAGTGAGGGTAAACCCCTTGAACGACCTGCTTGTTTTGGGCCCATCCGTGGGGCATCCCGCCGTTTTTCCTCCACCGAGTCCGCAAGCGTGGCCCCTTTGCTGAAAAGGCGGAAGTAGAGGAAGTCGACAACCCTTGCAAGCGAGTGACGCAGCAACAGCCGTGCTACCGGCGTTGGGAGACCCTGAGGTACTCCTTCCGGCTCCGCAACATGATACAGCGCAACTGTTTCGAGGAGCCATTGCTTCAGTCGGAGCAGGGGGCCGCGCCCTGGCGGGGACTCGGCCTGGAGCGCTTGCATGAGTTCAGCAGGAGCCAGCGCAGTCAGAGATCCTAGAACCTCTGCCGTAAGCTCACCTGATGGGAAGAGTACCTGCATGGCTCGCGCATGCAGACTCATTGAGCATTGGGAATCGGAACAAGTGCAGCAACTGGAAGGCCAGTTGCAATTCGGCACTTTCGCTCAGAAGCGTTATACACATTTTGCACCTGCCAACATCTAGGTCGGCAGGTAGCGTCTCGGCGGCGTGGAGCAAATGGCCGTATCCGTGGTAGTTGGAGCCGAACAGCTTGGTTGAGGCACCACGAATCCACACTAAGCCTCCCCTTCTTTTTCGGAGCAGTCCGCTTGCGGCATAAGGGACAGAGTCTGTCCTCCGCCACGTGCATCAACCATAGCTCGTCTGAGAGCAAGCACCTGCCGGAACACAAAGTCAAGCATGCCTAGTGCCCCTATTCGTACAGTGTGGACAAGCCTACGCGGGCTCTCTGCGGAATCGCAGGGCCTGGACTGCAGTAGGCCGCGAGGATCGCCATGACCGCCCCCAGCTCCCCGCAGAGAAGCCTTCGATGCAGGGGGCTTGCCTGCAAAGAGGAAAGGAAAATCAACATGGCACTGAGGCATCCGCTGTGTGGAAGTTGCAAATAAGAACTCCTAGGCAGGCGCTCGAAGTTGCATCGCGGCCTTTTCCGGTGCATTAAGCAGGATATTTAGCATTGAGTGCGCGGCACGGGCGACACATTCCGGAGCAAGTAGAAGGGTATGTTGGCTCGCGAAAGCCAATCTGGCAGGTTACAAGGAGCACGCCATAGCTGTCGACTGCTGTGGTTTCCACAAGACCAGCCAGTCGGCCCATAGCATTGATCTGAGCACACCAGGTGCCAGCAGTCATCACGAGCTAGAATGGCATATGAGCTCGCACCTGTGCACCGGATACACACTGGTTCTCTTCGTTCCGCTGCGCTGCCAGCTGTATTCTGTCTCAGGCGTTTTGCAGCCCAATTCGCGAGTAGACCTGTCCAGGCAGGCGGCCGCGAGGCCAAATGGCCGGACATAATCCCTGATTTTCCATGGTAGAACCTGAAATGCCGGCAGCCGACAGACACATCACCAAGACTTGGAACGTGCGCTGTCCGACCCGCGTGCCTGCCGAGAGATGGCCGCTGCTTGGCAAGTCCAATGGGTATGAGCATCGTCTATGTGTTCGTCGTTCAAACCAACAGAAAATGCCAATTCCGGCGTTCGAATTGTCCCGTCAGTAAAAATAGCTGCTGTTGTGGTTTGTGGTACTTGGGTACCAGCCTATATCCTAGAAAGGGATATCCAAGATCTTCAGTAAGGCTACTCCGCTTCCGGAACTCCCTTGCAGCCTCCGCCCAGTCCTCAAAGGAGAAGTTTTCTCCGAGAACATAAGGATCGAAGACCCGCGTCCCATTCGACCCAAGGCTCGCAAAGTCCCGCCGTACGATTTCCGCATGTTGTTCTCCAGCCGTATGTGCCAAGCAAGTAAAGATGCTCGTGGCGACCACGGCCTGAGACGATATGATGAGAAAATGCGCCAGGACACTGGTAGGAGGCTATGAATGGCCCGGGCATAATCCCTGATTTCCCACGGTAGAACCTGAAATGTCGGCAGCCGACAAGCGATCGCCGCGTGGGCCGCGGCAATCTCCAGGCGACTCATCACCAAGGCCTGGAGCGTGCGCTGCCCGACCCGCGCGCCTGCCGAGAGATGGCCGCTGCATGGCAGGCCCAATACTGTTGAGCAATCTCACTGAGACGGCGACGCCAGGTATGAGCGTCGTCCATGTGTTCGTCGTTCAAACCATACAGGAAATGCCAATACCGGCGTTCGAATTGCCCCGTCAGTTGCGGTTTGGTAAAAAATAGCTGCTGTTGTGGTTTGTGGTACTTGGGTACCAGCCTATATCCCAGAAAGGGATACCCAAGACCTTCAGCAAGGCCACCCCGCTCCCGGAACTCCCTTGCAGCCTCCGCCCAGTCCTCAAAGGAGAAGTTTTCCTCGAGAACATAAGGATCGAAGACCCGCGTCCTTTTCGACCCAGGCTCGCAAAGTCCCGCCGTACGATTTCCGCATGTATGTTCTCCAGCCGGTATGTGCCAAGCAAGTAAAGATGCTCGGGGTACACTGAAATAGCGCCCCGCACGTCGTAACCCTCCAGCTGGCTCCATTGCCGGACCCGCGCCAAGGCAGCTGCCAGTAGTCCTGCTGGTTGAAGGGGTAACTGCGTCGCCGGGCGCAACCCCAGCGATTCAGCCGAGAGAGGCAGATATATTCGGAACCTGCCTTCGTACTGCGGGGGGTGCGTAAAATTGGCGGGATGGAGAGCGGGATGATGGAGCGCGACCACCCCCTTTTCGAAAGACTGGCGGAGCCGTCGTCCCACTGCCCATTGTAGAGGGCAGACTTCCCCTGCTTCGAAAGACACAGCAATTCGAACACCTATATGGTCGTGCCTGTTCTCATCAGCGGCTCTGCAGTCTGTGTCCTTGAAAACCCCAAGAATTTGCAGATGCGGATAGGCCGCCGGTTTATCCACAAGGCGCCGGAGTACATAAATCAACACCTGCATGGGCATCAGGGCTCCGCAATACTGCAAAGGAGAGGCATGCCGCTCTGGCCCTCCGA